GGAGAGTCCTACAGACAATGGCCTAGAGTAGACTCTTCCCAGGAACTGAACTTCTGACAGATTCCAGTTAGGAAATTCAGAGCCACATCAACCTTAATAAGCTACATGAGGAGAGTCCTACAGACAATGGCCTAGAGTAGGCTCTTCCCAGGAACTGAACTTCTGACAGATTCCAGTTAGGAAATTCAGAGCCACATCAACCTCATGCACGGTCAGGAATTAAAGGGAATTGAGACACACACAGACCCAGTGGCACCAGGACCTCTCACCTCCTTCCGAATGGGGTTTATATCTACTTGAGAAGCTTTTAAAAGTTGACATCCAGAATAAAACTGGTTTCTAGAAAAGCCCTATTTTTTACTAATGCCAAAACTGGATTTGTAAATTTAAAAAATGTTTGTCTGAATAAACCTGTGATAATAAATTCAGTTATTGATCATATATTTCCTCTAAAATATACCTTTGAACACCTACTGATCATTTATTTATTTATATAACAGGTATTTACTGGATGACTACTAATATCAGGCTTGTTTTAGTCCTTAATGATACAGAAGTAAACAGGCCAAATAAGACAGAGTTCTGTACTCGAAAGTTCTTACATCTCAGAGGAAACACAGGTAATAAACATACAGATACATTCACATGTAATAACGTAGATATGTACCCAAGAAATATGATTCATACAGTGACAAGTATACTAACGAAAATACAAGAAGGAAATGAGATTAAGAGTGGCTGGGAAGGGAATTTTAATTTTGATATGTTTGATCAGAGAAAGGCTTGCTAAGGCGGTGACATTTGGATGACATTTTGCATGGAAGATGGCCAGGCAAAATCTAGAGGAAGAGTTCCAGGCAGAGAAAACATCAAGTAGAATGGGCCAGAAGCAGAAACAAGCTGGGGATTTTGAGGCACAGAAAGAGAGATGACATGGTAAGCACAGGCCAATTTACACCTCATGGGCTATGGGGAGAAAGGTGGATTTAATTCTAAGTGCCACGTGCTAGGCCATGTGGATTACACCGTCACATGCTCTGCCCTTCTGAGTCTTCTACTCCAGACGGTAGAACACAAACACTGAACAAATAGTCACAAAAACAAAAATAGAACTATAGATTGAGACATGCTGCAGAAGAAAATTCTGGGTCATTGTGGGTTTTTATAACCAGATAACTTGATTTAATTTGGAAGTAAGGAGGAAGTAGCCCTCATGGAGAAATTTAAAGGGGAGTTGTATAACTAGTTATATTAAATCTATTATTTTTAAATATATATATATATATATATATTAAGATTCATAGGATTCATTCACTTTAATTAAAATTTTTAAATGGTGACCCTAATGAGGCTTCTGATGAAAAAGAATGACAAATTTCCAGTCAAACAGAATACATCCCATCAGACATGAAACTTTTATTATCTTTGCAATGACAGATTGGTTCACTATATAGGACTTCATAATATTTGATATTAGGAACATGACATTAGAGTTCATGAGATGATTACCGTAATTACAGTTCATTTGATCTTGATTGCTTTTGTAGGGACTCCTGATTAAACCTGTCTGTCCTTGTAATTCCTAAAGCTTGTTTCTTACAAAGCTCAGAACTTCTTGGAAGAATAATTTAATTTTTCCCTTATAGCTTTTCCCCTCTTCCCATACCATATTGCAATGGTTATTTTAATCACAAATACATTTTTTTTAAATTTAGATATTTATTAGTTCTTTATGGTTTGCAAAGGTTTTCAGAGACTCAGACCAACTCAGGAAAGGTAAGCATTACTAACTCACTTTTATAGATGACGAAACTGAGGACCCCTGAGGCAAAGTGAACTTTCCTAAGCCACATAACTAGTAAATGGCAAAGGCAGGGCTGGGACACAGATCCTCTCACTGTTACTTTCTCTTCTTCAAGTTGCTCATAGCTCTAGGGTGTTGGACCCACACAGGCAGAGTGTCACCTATGCACTCCGATTCAGCTGCAAGGAAATGCAGGTGACAGTCACTTTGCTTTTTTAGCAAAGGATGGTAGAGAGGGTACAATGAAGCAGAGGGCAGAGGACAAGTTCCCATTCAAATGCAAAGATCTTTTGATCCAAATTCCCCTGCAGCTTTCTGAATTCTCAGCTTATACCTTGGAACTAAGAACCTAGAAGCTAAATAAGCTGAGGGCTGGGAAGAGGCTGGCAGATAGGGAAAATGTGTTCCTCTACAGACACTAACCCTTGAGAAGATTTATATAGATCTAGAGCCCCAGCCCTGGCTCAGCCAAGAGTGGGTGGGCTCAAGAGGACACCTAGGAAGCCAAGGCCACCCATGTGGGTGTATGGTGTGGTGGCTGCTATTTGGAAGGCTTAGCCATGGGAGGTGGAAGGGACAGACGATGCACGGAAAGGCCTAGGAAAGGTAATAGTTAATTGTGCACCAAAGACTGCTCCAAATAAGGCTGGAGTCTCAAAAGAAGAAACTTTCATCTCAGACAAGATCATGAGCTGCAAGTTCAGTCCCATGGAGAGAGCTGACCAGGTACAAGAGGGGAGGAACACAGTGATGGTTGTGTCTCAAGGATAAAGTGAGGGCTGAAAATTATCCCCAAGGATCAAACCCAACTCCTTACACCAAAACAGACTTGGGAGGGGGGAGGGAGAGAGTAAGAGACCAATAGGTATTGTTATGGGCTGAATTGTGTGTCCCCCAGAATCCATGTGTTGAAATCTTAACCCTCAGTACCTCAGAATGTGACTGTATTTTGAGATAGGGTCTCTAAAAAGGTAATTAAGTTAAAATGAAATCACTGGGGTGGGCCTTAATCCAATATGACTGGTGTCCTTATACAGAGAGGAGATCAGGACATAGACGGGTACAGACGGAAGACCCTGTGAAGACACCGGGAGAAGGCAGCCATCTGCAAGCCAAGGAGAGAGACTCAGGAGAACCACGTACACTGACACCTTCACCTTGGACTTCCAGCCTCCAGGATTGTGAGGGAAAAACCTGATGTTGAAGCCACCCGGGCTGTGATACTCTCCCTACCAAATTAATACAATATGCCCCTGTTTTTTTCTAAGCCTCACACTTTTCTGGGGGTGGAAGGGCGTTTACTATGCAGCCAGCACTAAGGGGATTTATTGAAAAGGTGAGGGGGATCAGGTATGTGGCTGGGGGACGGGGCAGTTCAGCAGACCCGTCTGTGCAGAATGAAAAAAGGGGGGTGGGGAAATGACGAAGAAGATGCTCTTTTCTTCTGTTCCTACAAATTGCCCAACGGCGGCAGTGAAAACAGCTGCCCATTGAAGAATGTGTCTCCTTCCTCACACTGCGACATGCAGAGTGAACCACCTCACTGGGATTTATGGAACAAAAGAAAGTCAGGTTGTTCAAGTCCTTACAAAAATCCTTGGCACAGACAGGGAAGAATCTACAAGAAGGAAATCGGGATTTAATGGGTGATTCTTTTCAATAGTCTCACTTTTGCCATTCTGCTATTTCCTCTTCTTTCCTTCTTTCTTTCTTTTCTTTCTTTCTTTCTTTTCTTTTCTTTCTTTTTTTTTTTTTTTTTTTTTTTTTTTTTTGTATTCAGAATTGTAGCTACTGTGGTTTTGCAGTTCTCAACTTGTCCTGGTTATACTTTAGATTTTAAAAAGGCATAGAAAGGCATTCAAGCAGGATATGGTGAATGAAAAATGAAAAGAGAATTCAAAGCTCTAGAGGGGAGCCAAGGCCACCTGTGCTGCTGGGAACCTAGGCTCCAGGGCACTGGGGCATAATCGTGGACGAAAGCACCCCTGCTAGCCATACTCCAGGTCTGGTCATTCCCTCCAAGTCTCCCAAAAGACTTCCTAAACTGAGCACACGGGCAGGTGGAGGCAGAGTGGGGCTTCCCCTCTGGGGAGGTTCGAGTCCTTCCTATGCCCCTGACCAGCTGATCTTAATCATTCTCAATCAGAGGAATCAGCAAGGCCATCACTTGGAGATTTAATTATCTTTTCTTTACTCAAATCTCATAATGAATGATTCCGGGAAGTTATTAATTTTTCATTCCAGAATGAGCACAAGAAGGCTACATAGTAGGAGATTCTGCTGTCCTAGAAAAATTCCATTCATGCCTTGGGTCTGTGCTGTAAATGGACTGCACACTGTCCTGATTAACGTGCTGAATAGCGTTGGACCTTACTGACAGGGGCTGAAGGCAAGGTCACACTTGCATGCCCCTAAATATCTGTTAACTGCAACCTTTTTTTTTTTTGACTGGTAAGGGGATCGGAACCCTTGGCTTGGTGTTGTCTGCACCACGCTCAGCCAGTGAGCGTGCCGGCCATCCCCATTTAGGATATGAACCCACGCCTTGGCGCTACCAGTGCCGCACTGTCCCGAGTGAGCCACGGGGTCGGCCCTGTGAACTGCAATCTTGCTAAACCCACCCTGGCTTCACCAGAGGCCAGGGCATGGTGCACTGTAGGACCTTTCCAGCCAGAACCGGGAGTACCTTATATCTAACACCTCTCAATCGGTCCCCACTTCTGCATTCTCCTACACATTAGCCTTCAGGTTCCTCTCCCAGCCCCTCCTCCTACACCCAACCCTACCAAAATACCTGCAGTTGCTTGGACATACCATCTCAGCACACCTCTGTGATTTGTATATTCTTTTCCTTTGGCCAGGGATGCCCTCCTGACCTTGTCCCACCTGGCTAACTTCTACTCTTCCTTTCTTTTCTGAGAAAGCTCCCTAACTTCTCCAGGCATCTCAGAAGAATTGGAGAAGAATCAGACACTTCTCAAAATTAGTACTGAATAACTGGGTTATATATGAATATTCAGCATAGACCAAGCTGTAGTGACCCTGATATTTCTCTATTTTCTTAATGAATGGCTCTGGCATAGTGCACAATCAGACAGTAACCCCTTACATCATGTTAGAAGGGCCTCTGCCCAATGGCCTGTTCTTTGGAGGGATCCACATACTACAAATGTATTCCAAAACATATTTATTAAAAAATAAACAGACATATCTGCCACTTTGGATCTGGTGCTCAGTATTTGTATGGATAGACTCATAACCCTAAAGATCTATTCACAAAATGAGGGCCCAGGAAAATGCTTTCCACATCTCTTGTCCTATGCGCTCGACAAAAAGGACTGCATACAAAGGCTGTGAAAGTTGTGGGTTTTACGTCACTCCTGAAGTTAAAGATGGATTACTGTGGATATGAAGAAGTCTTGACAGGCAGAAACACTTCGGGAAGAGGAAAGACAACATAATTAACCTGTCTCATCTGTCTTCTCAGATATAAAAGCAATGGGCTTTTGCATAATGTTATCATTTCCCAATAATTCTGAGTGTCCAATCTTTGCTCCTCTTTGTTTTCTACTTTTTATTCCAGAGGATTTTACAAATTAATGCTGTATTCATGTCAGTTGCATATGTTGGCTAAGGAATATTTTGCAAAATAAAACAATTTCTTATGCAAACATCACTGACCTATCAAAACAACACCTTGATATATGCAATTATTAAGTTCAGTTTTATGTAATATTTTGTCAATTTTGAGTCAAATAAAAACACGACTGTTCATATATTTCATCATAATGAAGGCATTGTTGTCAAATTTGTTACTGTAATGTGTAACTTATCAATAATCAGACATACAGGCTGTGGGACTCCATTTATACCTTTACCCCAAATGTTCAGACCAAGTCCAGGTATCACGCCACACCAACTTCTTGTGGGCAAATATCAGGATCCTCAAGTGCAGATCATTCCTTCTTCACTGCCCCGAGAAAATAAAGGAACCACCATTGTGATGCTGTTGCCTGGGATAACCTACAGAAGTTCTCTGATATTCTGTGAAAGACAAATTAGGCTTCCTTATTAATGTATACCATTTCATTATGGGTACAGTGCATAAGCATTTATAATATTATATTCATAGCTGTGATTTCCTCCTGACAAGTCAGTTGTGACAACCCGTTCACGTATAACCCAGTTCCAGACCTGTAATTTTAGAGAGTGCTCAGTTCTTGTTGAATATCCCATGTACATGTCTCATTCATTATTTTGCAGGTATGCATTTGCAGAGCTGGCTTCACTCCTAGAAGACAGGGCTGAATGCTATTCTTCTTGGACATGCAGAACCTACTATGTGTGTCTATGTTTGATGGAATTTCTTGCTATTTATCCTGCTTGACAAAATAATGAAGGCATTTGTTGGAGGAAAGTTCTTGATCTCTGTAAAGAAATAATAGCTAATCCAGGGCTCTTCGGCAATACAAACCTTTTCTGTTTCTATTTTTCCATTTTGTGGCTTGCACCTCATAAATGCACATAAAATAAACAGACACCTTAGGAGCAGTTCCCTGCTCTGTAGACGGTGTCATTACTTTTAGTTTTTCTTTATTGCACCAAGGTCTTATTTTTTATAGCATTTATGATATTTATTCTTTTAGTTGACAATGATTTATTTAGCATCTACTAGGTGCTCTAAGTCATCTCACTTACATATTTATTTGTATGTTTAGTTCTTCATTGTTTTTCTTCCTCAGTGGACTCTAAACTCCATGGAACTAAGACCTATCTGTCTTACTCACTATGAGATTGCTCTTCAGCACCAGGAAGCAATAGGTGTTAATTACACCTGTACTGAGTAGATGGATGTGGAAATATGCATCCACAATCTCAACAACTGATATTTTTAGGGGGGGTTGTTTGTTTGTTTTTTCTCTCCCAGTGCTTGCTTCTTTACTCAAACAATACCAAGACGTAGTACCTATTTGCTTTTAAAATAATAAAAGAGGATTGTCTGATTAGGCTCTTAAATTAGCCCTTTCTTGATAGATTTTTTTTTCCTTTTTGTCTTTTTTCGTGACTGGTAACGGGATCGCAACCCTCAGTGTTGCGCCCGTACCGCGACCAGCAATGGGATCGCAACCCTCGGTGTCACACCCGCACCACGCTCAACCAGTGAGCAGACCGGTCTCTATATGGGATCCGAACCCTTGGCGGGAGCGCCGCCGCGCTCCCAAGCGCTGCACTCTACTGAGTGCGCCACCGGGCCGGCCCTTGATAGATTTTTATTCACTTTTTCACCTTTCGTTTCTATTCTGAACCATTCTTCATTCTAATATAGACCACACCTTGATACACGCTTCTGCAACAGGTGCTGTAACAACCACCGGTATGATACTGTGAAGCCTCTTTCTCTCAGCAAACTTTGGGCCCAGCAGCAATACATCCATTCTTCGTAGCCAAGAGTAGAATATGTTTCAGTCAGATTTCACTTGCTTGGGATAAATCTTGTAGGCTATTAAATCTCACTTTCTGATCCCTGCTAACACAGTATTTGAAGAACCATCAAAGGGACACTGACAGTGTCACATATGTTACAGTAAGCCCTTGATAGCAGCCATTAATGTGCTGTACAATGGGGAATGTGGTCTAAAGATAAAAATAGGCAGGCAAGCAGGAATCAGCCCAATAGACTTAATTTCATACATCTACAGCTGCTGACATGTCTGCAATGAAGTTAGGCAATGCCTTTATTGGCAAGTCTGTTAGAACTTTTCAAATAACAGTCTCTAATTAGTTTATAATGTGGCTTTGGTGCAACTAAGTGGAAGAAAGGAAGAACAAATATTAGTTGATTCCAAAGGAACCCTCTTGTTTAAAAAAGCTTACCTATGGCTACATTGTTTAATGTTGAATATACTAATCATCCCATCTTGAACATCTCATATTGCACACAGGTATTGATATTCAACATGGTACCCCACAGATATGTACAATCAACTATGTTTTAGTTAAAAAAATTAATTAAAAATTAAAGACTAAAAATCTTACCTATTAAGAAGGCAAATATCAGATAGAAGTATACACAGAGGAAGGGCTCACATTTCCTTTGTTTTGCAGTAGTTGGAGGGAGTACATAAGCAGAACATGTGAAAGCTGTTAGCCCCTTTCTCTTTTCTGCCTTCACAGCTGAAAGGAAAATCGTAAGTTTGTTCTAGGCTCTCTGTTAAAGCATAATGTATGTTTCCTGTACCGGGTTAAACCTCCAGCTGAACTTGGTGCATGTCTCTGGCACAGGCAAGCCTCACTTTGGACAGGAAGCATTGAATAAAAATAGCCATGTCGATACCACCTGTGATTCTGATGATATGTCAGAGCCAAGGTGCAGAGAGACCAACATCAGAAATATCCTGCCACCAGCAGAACAGGCTCCTGCTTCTAGGTTAAAAAATAAAAAAGCCATCATATTTCTGGGAACTGGTGACCTATCACAAGTTTGTATATGCAGGAGATGCCCTAGAAAGAAAAGACAGATCTATCAGGCACATTTACAACACATGTTAAATGTAGTTCTCAGAACTCCATGTGAGGAGAGAACAACTGGGTGGGTTCAGACAGGATGGGGGTAAGGAGAGGGAAGGTTGAGACCCAGTCCTGCCACAAGTGGGCAGGTGACATCAAAGTGTTAATGTGGATCCCAGTATATGCATTTGTGTGCTGATACTGTGAAAAGTGTTTTCCTTTGATACAGTAGCAGGAGAAAAATGAGGTCTTGATAAATATAGTTATTTTAGTTGTTTTAATACTGGCATGCTTGAATATGGTATATTTGCTAATTTAATTCTAAGTATTTGTTGCAATCCCCTCATTAAATCAAAGGAAATTGCATGCAGGCATAACAGGGGTATAGGGTAGAAATCCTCCATTTGTGAGATGCCTGATTTTACCAGTGCCTGAATTCCATGTTGACTGAGATTATCCATGTGCCTAATGGGAGAGATGCTATGAAATCTGAATACAGCATTATCTTGCTTTATAACCATGTTGCCTAATAACAGAAAGAGGGCTTTGGGCCATAATTAATAGCCATTCTTACAGATCTTTAACTCTCTGCAGTCTCCAAGGAGCTTGCTTTCCATTAACATTTCCAGAAATAGCTTACTTTATGTTATTAAAGTGCTGCTAGTGATAGTTTCCAAATTATTCCTAAGCTAATTATTAAAAAATGATTACTCAAAAAGCTTTTTTCATTTTAAATGGTACCTTTAAGTGCCTTGCAGTAAATATGAAGACAGAGCCATTGTCCATTGGAAAACTCTCTGCTCGTGATATAGCCAATTCCATTAAGTCAGTCTCAAGTGTACTCTAAAATGTGTTTTCATTACAAGTTATGGCACTAAATACCATGGGAAATAATATGCAAATCAGCAATATTAAATATGCCAGTTAAGACGAGCCAAACTAACCAATGAAGGGGATATAGCCAGTATAAAGCAATATCTTGCTTTTTTAAAGGTTAATTAGACTGCCTAATTATCCCAGACTAAGAGCATATTATTCTCTTGGAAAAGCAAGCATAATTAACTTAGAGAGAATTCCCCCACAAGCAAAAACAAACAAACATGAAAACTTCAATTCAAAGTGATTTACTTCTATTGAAATCCAAAGGGTGGACTGATAAGTAATAAGAGGGAAACAAAGAGAAACACACGGACACAACAATCGTTGTTAAACGTGACCAGCCTGAGAGTCTACACAACATGTGAAAGACCTGACTGCACATATGAGCAGTCCCATCATTTCTAATCTATATAAAATATGTTAGCAGTCCCATCATTTCTAATCTCAAGAAGATGAGAATAAAATACTTTCTAGGGAAGATACTTGTATTGGACATTTGTTGCTTTTGGATGCCCAGTAAACGACCCCATTTATTTTGGTAACACTACCCCGATTTTCCTTTGGGGGACTGTTGTACCCGCCTTGCAGGCCAACCTCTCTCCTTGCCCAATCCTACTTCCCTCGCTCCCTCTTCAGATAATCTTCCCAGGAGAAGCCCCCAATAAACCAAGCACACATATATGTTCATTTCAGAGTCTCCAGAAAGAATCCCTGTCCCCCCTTTCCCTAGGAAGCCAATACATGGCATCAGTGCCAAGATCAGTTTGAGGAAACAGAATATAAAAAATGGGATTTTAGAGGTATGTCACTTGCCGGTTGGCTGACAATGAGGATCACATCCCTGGTAGTTGGGTGAAACTCATAGCCCCCTGTATGTTATAGCAGGATAACTACTAAGTCCTTCGCTAGAGGTAGTTGGAATAGAGCACAGGCGGAAGGTAATGTACAGGTAGGTGCAATACCTTAGATATTTGAGGATTTCAGAAGAAATAGCAATTATAAAGACAATGAAATTTGAAGGTTGTTGCTGGGGTTCTTGATGCACGAGACAAGGAGAGGCTGATGGTAATTAAATACTAATTATGACAAATTATGGAAGCCAGAGGGCCCACTTGGCAGTGTATAAAGAGATGTTCTTCTCCTGTAGCCAGAGGGCAGGAAAAGCTGAGGACCAGACCCAGAATTAATTATAATTGCAGTGGAGCCCTGGAGAAGTTTGAAACCCAACCCTGGAAAAGTCTGTTAAACTAAGTCCAGGACCCTGATTGAGAAGGAGTGAGACCCCCAGATTTGAACCTACTTCTTAAAGGCTAGAGGAGCCTCACTTGGAGATGGCAGTGCCAAATGACAGGGCACTACAGTTGGTTAGAAGCCTGCGAGGACGAGGAAATGTATGGAGGAAACATGTGAATGGACTTACAGGATTGGACGGAGTGAGATCTTTGTATTGCAGGTTAATGCTCAGCAGAGGCCATCTATCATAGAAGATATGTATCAACCAAATAGACAAAATGACTTTGTCATTTGAAGTCAGCTAGCCTCAGTCATTCCCTACCCCAGTGTTGACATAATGGCTGAATGAAGACAGCAGCCAAAGTAGCAGAGATGGAGCCTATGCACAGGCCCAACAGCACAGGCTCCCACTCACCAATGCCATTCTAGCTACTGCAGAATGTTTACTCTGCCTCCTACAGAGACTAAATCTGAGCTCCCAATGTGGCACCATTACCCAAGGAGACTAACCAGCCACATAGTGGCAAGCTGATTACATTGGGCCTCTCCCCCTAGAAGGAACAGCAATTCATGTTAATTGAGATTGACTTGTATTTTGAGCATGGGTTTGCCCTTGCTGACTGCAAGGTCTCAGCATCAATATATAAAGGCTTATCGAGTGTTTGACCTGCTAGCATATGCTCCTCATCAATATTCCACTAGACCAAGAGCCCCACTTTACAGCAAAGGGGTGAGGCAGGTGATGTGATCCTAGTACCTATCCATCTCATACCACGCCACCTAGAAAAAGTTGGTATGATAGAGCCATAGAATAATTTTCTGAAGGCGCAGCAGAGTCACTGGCTTGGAAATGTCACCCACAAGGATGGGCACCAGCCTCCAAGACATAGTACACACTAGAAATCCATTGTATGGTTCTGTGTCCCATTAGGCAGAATGCATAGGTCTGAGAATAAGGAGTAGAAGTAGGAGTGAATCCACTCATCATCACTCCCAGTGAGCTCTTTGAGGGGTTTTTCCTTCCATATACACAATGGTGGACTCTTGGGTTTCAAAGTTGTTAAAGGAGGGATGATTCTACCTGCAGATGCAGCCAGAGCTTAGAGTGTAAAGAAGCTCCTTACACTCTAAGCTCTGGCTGCTGCCCTATCAATTCAGGTTCCGCGTACCAAAAGACCAGATGGCAAGAAAGGTTCACCATGCTGGATGGATTACTCGCCCCTGATCTTCAGGAGGATATATGGGGTGATCTTCATGAGGACAAATGGGGTAAGGGGTAGATAGGTAATCCAGGGGTGCTTTTCATACTCCCCTGCAAAAGCGTTCATGGCCTTAGAAGGACATAGTGACCATGGACTCAGACCCCTTAGGGATAAGAGTCTGGGTCGCCCATCAGGTAAGCCATGCCAGAATGGATGCTAGCAGATGGTGAGGGGAGTCACAGTGGATCAAGCAGGAGGGAGATGAGCATGGCTGAGGCCCCAAGAACAACTGTAGCAGTGGAGTTGTCATTTGTTCCACTAACCTTTCCCATGTAACGTCACCCAGAACAAATATTAACATTAAAGCCTATGCTCAAGCTTCTCAATCATCAAAAAACAAAACAAATAAAACCAAAAAAAATAAAAAACATGGTGCTCTTGTCCCTGCCTGTTGGGAGGCTGAAACATTAAGTCCTCACTGGGTGAGGGGAGCTGCTCTGTATTGCAAATGCAACGTCGGCTTTGGGTCCTGGGATGTACACAAAGACTCAAATGTTAACAAGGCTGGGCAAGCCTAGACAAGGATTTGAGGAACAACTGTTGGAACACTGACATACAGTGTCTTGATTTCCTCATGTGAAGGGAGAGTTGGTTTTCCTGGACTTTCTTTCTTCTCCCTTCCAGAGGACTTCGCCATTTCCATGGCCACTGCAGGGAGGAAAACACAGGCGTTCACACTTCCCGGCCTTCCCTCTCAGTTCTCCGCCATGAGCTCGTGGGGCGCTGCCATCCATGCATCTTTGAGGCCTCTCACATGGGCCTGCAAATATAATGACTTTTCAAGACTGACACTAATGCCCTCCCCTGTCCTCAGCAGAGTGGTGTTTTCAATGGGAGAATTTTCTCCTTTGCATGAAAAAACTTGCCCTCTGCTTCCTCTTTCCTTAGAGACTAGCTCCCCAGCCCTATTTACCTAATGAGAAATGAGCTCAGAAACTGAAGACAGTGAAGTGACCATTTCCAGTACCTGAGGTCTGAAGCTGCTCAAGACCAAACATTACAGGGCATTTGAGGCCAAGAAAAAGCTCACGGCACTTTGTCAGGGAGTTAAGTGGAGTTACCCCATTAAAGCAAGTCACCTGTGACACTTTTTCTTCTTGAGCTGATCTCCTCAGAAAGGAAAAGTCCTCATATTATGTCAACACAACCTTGTTCTATACTAGTGATTCCCAAACATTAGCCTATGTTAGAATCTTCCAGAAAGCTCCTTAATCCACAAACCCTGGGCCCCACTTCCTGAGTTTGTGATTCAGTAATTTGGGGTGGGGCCTAAAGACGTGCATGGC